TACAGCCTTTAGCCCTAGCCGTTAATGAATAACTGGCATCCAAAAATCCCACCCCAGCTCTTTCATAAAAGTTCTAGATATCATCCAGCTCACTGTCATACGCACATCGTTTACGGTGAAATCAGAAGACACTGCCTTTACAGCCTTACCCGAAAGCGCGGCCCAGTGAAGTGGAGTTCGGCCGTCGGCATCGACGACGTTCGGGTCGACGCCGGAGCGCAGCAGAACAGTCAGCACCTGAACGGCTATGTCACCGTCGTTGATCTGCGTTGCGTAGTGAATCGGGAACACGCCGTACACGTCGGCAGTGGACGCCAAAGCCCCTTTGACCATCAGCTGTTCGAGCACGTTCGTCCGACCGCACACCGTCGCCCAGTGAACCAGCGACCGTTTCTCATTGTCGATGTTGTTTACGTCTGCCCCCTTGTCGATCAACAAGCGCACAACATCGTCGTCGCCGCAAACGATCGCCATCGTCAGAACCGTGTGACTAAACAATGCGCAGCGTCCAGGTTTTAGCTCGACACACAGCCCTTAATCATCTTAATGTCTTACCCGTCAGAATTCCTCCGATCGATGAAACAGCCCTGAAGACTGTCCGTAAAGGCATCACACTCTTCGGCTCTGTCTGCAACCTGCTTCAGTTTCAAAGTAACAGTTACGGGGGTTTAAAATTGGACCATTTTGCATTCATTACTTGTATGTCAGCATCGATTAACTGAACCTGACTGAGATTAACGAAACGAAAGAAATAATTTTCTGCCGAACATTCACATAGTTTAAATGTAGCAAAATATTTTTTCGAATATAATACACGATGGATAAAGTGCTTAACTTCTTTTCAATTTCTCAAATACATTTACTGTTGTAAGAGAGAGTACTCAACGCATTTCAGCGACCGTTCGTCACAACTAACCGTGGAGGGGCTGGCGATAGCGCAGTTGCAAAATATGGCCTCGAATTCCATCGGAGGTGTGCAGTTCCAAGAGGTTCACTCGACGTTGCTTTGGGACAACGGCCACAATCGGTCACAAATCGCTGACGTCCTAGACTTGCGAACAACGGTGGGGGCGGCCGGCATTGTTTCCCGTTGTATAACGCAAGTATCCTTAAGGTTGTGATTCGCATTTCATCTATCTAATAGTTACCTATCCAGTATTATACTTATAATCAGTGCAAACCGAACCGAAGCAAAGTTATGCACATTGAGCCACCTGGTAAGTTTTCAACACTATTCAAAGAGCGAATCAGTGCTGAGATTTTTTATCGAAGTTGTCGCAGGATGTCATCTGTGCATTTTACACACATGCAAAGTCACTTACTTAAGAATCGTTGGTGTATATCGAAAACAGGACGTGACTCATAAGGAGTATAATGTTGTTTGGAGAACTTGAGGGGCCTTGTTCCCAATACTTCAACAAATTGAGAACGATCCAACGGATCACTGGTCCCGAATTTCAAGGCATGCAAGTCTACATCACACTATGATAGTACAGATAGCAAGGCGTGGCGCGGAATCATGAAAAGTCCTGATGCATACATTTAACGAATGTACGAACAACATTTTACTGCCCTATTAAGCCCTCCCGTGGTACACTTCTTTCATATGGCGATTTATAAGCGTCGATAAATCAGATTTTATTCCATCGCTGGCGTAAAAACTGGACCTGGTTTGTCTCATGTAGTTACCTCGCTACAAGACCAGTTCCCGCTCCCAGAAGATAAATACACTGACGTTTGAATCGACAAAAGTTGTCTGTTAACTGTAATGTCTTACCCGGATGTTTTGACTGCCCGCTTGCTGTCTGGGCGATACAAAGAATTCAGGAAACTTTGCACGTGCCATACTTGGATATCACGACGACCTTGACTCCGTTAAGAAGCTATGAAGGATGCTGGAAACCAGGTAAACACAAAACCCTCTATTAGAACTCAACTGATTGCTTCACATCGACCCGAGTGCCACGGTTCGCGTTGTAAACCGCCTATCTATGGCTAAAACTTGATGATAAGACCAGGAAAATATTGAACATGTATCGAATGGTAATGTGCGGGGAGATACTGACAAACTCTATGCATCGCTTAAGGAACGGGAAGAAGGGTTTCGTACGCAAATCAAAGATATTCTGCAAGTATAAACATATTCCCGGAAGCAATGTATGGCTACAGCAGTGAACGATAAGATACAGAAGATTGACGTAAAACATCTGGAGATAAAAGACATCGTAGAAACATGTAAAGATCGACTGGAAACATATTCATCCTAATGGACGATATGTTCTATAACTCGGCGAAGACATACATATTCACTAGTTATCTAGGAGTGGACTTCATGGCGAAATGGGACTCCTAATAACCGCCAAAGACCAAGCAAAAATTCGTAGCTAACTATCCTCCACTGACGGCTAGAACTCTTCAGTGCTTTCGTATGAACCATCAGTTAAGCTAGATTAATCCATAAGCAGTATTGCATAGCCAAAATGTGGAACAACTACGGCAATCACATAAAAAATGCAATGACGAATTAACAGACACTCAAAAACCAGCAAAAACGACTGGTTCAAAATAAATTCTGAAATACATTGCCTTGTGTAATAATTTATTAAATACACAGATAATTGCATTTTAGGTAAGACAATCGAACAGTACTTGCTCAGTGTTATGTATTACATTAATATGCTACCTACAGGCTTACCTTCGTCGCTTCTAAGCTCATCCGGTAAGAATGGGAAGCGGTATTTACAGTTTAACGTTGTTTCGGTTTTCCTTCACTCATAACTTCTGGAATGAGGCCATTCACCAATACATAGCATTCTGTTGCTGCACATTACTTCGCAGATTATTGACATGCCACCGAAAGAGGCATGTTTACAAGCCGAACAGCTTGCCTAGACAAATCGCCCGATGCGATTTCAGTTCGTCAGCAGATCAATAGCTGTTGTTGCGTAGCAACAACCAGAAGCAAACATCGGATCAACTTGGAGGAACAACTGGCAGTACTTAATTCTCACAATCACCCAAGGCAGTACTCCCTGAGTGAATCATTATTTTACGTCCACCTGAAAGATCAGTGCTTGAAAGGAAGCCCAAAAATTCCGATTTTTCAGCAAAATCGAATAAATAGGATAGTACATAGTGGATGCAACAACTTGAAAACATATCACGGACAGGGAGCTGAATTTTAAGGGATTAGACAGTCGAGACAAATCGGTTATCTACTCATTTCACACCGGATAACCTACGGGCAGTTGCTACTGGATTGCTTTTAGTGGAAGAACCTCGGTATTGGGTGGGCCAAGCTCATGTGTCAGAGCACTTGAACAACATCTAAAAGCTCCGCCTGTCCCGTAGCCGTCAGTGAGACGGTTCTGAGAAGCGAGTCTCTCCCGATCATGTGCTAAATGAAAGAAATTACGATATGTTGAATTTAAGTAAAATCACATTAACAAGAACGCTCGAGCCACATCTCAAAGTCAGAACGTGAATATTCATTGTTCTGACCAATTCAGTAATGCAGTACTATATCGATTCCATAAAAACTACCTCTACCAGGAAGTGCACGAACATTATTAATGAAGTTTTAATGAAATGTCAGCAAATGAACAGTCGACAATACTGGCGTTTGGAAATCCAACGCCAATAAATTTTTAAGATAAAAACTGAGTGTGAGCGGATTAACGCAAAAGTGAAATTTGAAGAAATTCTCTTCGAATTCATTCAGCACACATCACCATTATCAAAAATAAACTAGAAAAAATGAAACAGTCGCATTTTCATCGTAAAAAACACAAAACATTCAACCTTTTATCAACAACTCACGACACACTCATATTCGTACCCGATCATTCAGGGCAGCACGATACAAATAGAGAAATCAAAAACCAATCATAAATTAACTGTGACCGCAGGCATAGTTCAAAAACCATCAGCATGTTTCTCAGGTGTCGGACGGTGCAACATCGCACTTACGCCGCGTCTTGCATTTCTTCTGGAATTTCGTGTGGATTCAAAATACCGGGAACAGTTGCAATCACACGTTGTTTCTCCTGTTGGGCTTCCTGAATCTGCTTTTCTCGTTCTTCGAGGTACAGATCCGATGTGTCAGCGTTGCAATGTTCCTGAACATATTCAAATTCATAAGAGAAAGTAACAGACACTGAAAGGATAACAGGGACTTGCTAGTTAACTGCAAATATTAGCTTTTCTTACATGCTAGTTCTAATTTACGGCATAATCCGATCAAAAGAACTTATGATGGGGAACCGACTTCCATTTTCATTTCATTCGCTAGAATTGGCTTATTATTAAAGGCACTGCCTACAGGTATGTAGCAAATACCGCACGTTGGATCTGGTCGCCTTCCCCACAGCGTCGTATTCTAATTCAGAACAATTACAGTTGAGAGATATGTGATAATTCGGTCGCAGAATTTAACATTTATGGTTAATGGCAACAAAAACTAAGGCCGATTGTATAAGTTACCTCATCATGAACTAGCTGGTACGAAGAGGCCATAAATGAATTAAATATATCACTAAAAATATTTAAAAATTATCGACAGGAACTGACAACGAACAATTCTAACAAAATATTCAAACAAAAGAAACGGTGTGAAATATTTGTTTGAATTCTGAAAGTAGAGACGGAAAAAAGTTATTCGCTGTCCCTTCTATCCTATAAATGAAGAACAGGAACATCTGAATCATCCGGAGGAACCCTCGTAAGAAGAAAGGGCAAAATAACATTAATAATCTCAGCGCCGTTTTGACGGTGAAAATCTGGCATACAACTCCCATGTATACTCTGATGTCAATTTCGTCATTGCAGAAGATATGTTGCACTCAGATAACGATGGTGGTATGAAGGCTAAAATGCATGATAAGAAACGACTTTTAGAAGAGTTCTTATTTCCTTTCGTCGTCAGCAATCTATCCACATAGTTTACTAAAAAAT